ATAAGTAGTCTGTATTTGGAATAGAAGCCTTCCTATAGCGTGGATCATCAGAACGGGGTGAGTGGGCAAACAAATTTTCCATCTTGGGACCAGCAGATCCTCATTCAATGTTAAGTACATATAATGCTGATAGCAAGTAACATTTATTGAGCATAAATATGTGCTCATTCTTGTTGCACGCACTTTACATGTGTTAGCTCATTTCATCTCTGCAATAATGGCTCTCACTAGCTGTATCCTGTTAGATATTGGGAATTGACAAAGGTGATGACCAACCCAGCCTTCCAGCTGTAGTGATTAGTAATTGGTCAACACCTAAAACAATAGAGAAGGAAACAAATGAAATTCGGGGCCAAACCATAAAAATGATGGAAGGTATCAGCGATAAAGAATAGATAGCACGGAAAGGGGGATTGGCAGAAGAATTTGGTTTATAATAAACACATGACATCATCAATCAGTAAGAAAATGAAGAACTAATTTATTATTTTCCAGTTATAATAACAGTACTGGTTTCCTATTTCATAAAAGAGAAAGAGTTAGATGGTCACTAAATAATGCATTCTTAAATTAGTCCCAAATATGCTGGAATTATATCTAATGATAATAATGAGGCAAAACTTACACATTGTATATTCTGTTTTGATCACTTTTGTAAGTGCTTTACATATAAAAATGCTTTGGTCCTCATAACAAGCCTATGAGGTAGGAACAATTACCTCACTCTTTTACAGATGAGAAAACCAAGTTATGTGGAAATTCAGTAACATTATCCAAGGTCACACTGCTTGTAAGTGTTTTTATGGCCATCTCAGACTTAACATGTCCACAAGTGAATTCCTAATCTTATCCCTAAAAACATATTCCAACTCCTGTCTTCTCCATCTTACAATATCCTTTACTCAGAGTCATCTACATGCTCATGCCAAAAATCTCATAGCTATCCTTAACTCTTCTTACAGCCTGCATACAAACATTTTGGAAAATTCAATTGAATTTATTTTCAGACTAGCTCTTGAATCCATCTCTACCTCGTACAAATTGGTCAACACCATATTTCCTTGCTTGTTTCAGTAGCCTCTTAACTGTTCTCTCGGTTTCCACCTTTGCTTCCCTCCATCTATCCTCAGTATAGCAGCAAGAACAATACTTTAAAACATAAATCAGCTCAGCCCACTCCTCTACCTGGAACGCTGTTCACCAGAGAATCAATATAGCCAGTTCTCTAACCTCCAAGTTGTTACTTAAATGTCTCCAGATTAAGGAAGACTCCCCTAAAAACTGGTTAAAATTGCAACCCACCGCCAATATCTGTTCCTATTAGCATTTTCAGTCTCCAAACCCTGTTCCTTTAATTGCCCTTTAACATAGTATGTAATTAACTTATTTATTATATTTATTATTTTTGTCTGGTCTTCTTCAAAATATCAGTATCTTATCTGTTTTGCTCACAGATGTATGTGAAGCACTTAGTAAAATGCTTTGTGCTCCATAAATGATTTAAACACAGACTCCATAAGTATTTGTTGAATGAATGTTGAGGCTGGGATTTTACATTTAGATAGCACGATTCCAGGGGCCATTAAATGAATGACTAAGCAATTGCCTTAAACATGAAATCATTTTTTAAAAGCTTGAAAAAAAAATAAGTGGATATGGGAGGAAAAAAGATATTAGGAGCATTAAAGTACTAAAAGAAATTATCAGGGAAAATCTGATCGTTTAATGTTTGTAAGAACGAAAACTCTAGACTAATAACATTACCTCTAAATTTAACAATTAATAAAAACTGAGAACTATCTTCTATAAATATGGGAAGGTACTCATGTTCAAATATTAAGAGTTATTATAAACCAAATGGGGTAAAAACAACAAAACCCTCATAAGTATTAAAAAGTATATAAGCTCACGAAAAGAAACAAGTAGCAAAGCATGCAAAATATAAAAGTCACTGTTTCTAGTAATAGAACTCATTAGTTGAGATGCCCCATGTTGATGAGGGTTCAATACAACAAGCTCCCTATACCTAGAGCATGTACTTTAAAATATTCCTGCATCAGGACTCATTACTAGGAATCTATTTGAAGGACATAATCAGAAATAGAGACAAAAATATGTATGTAATGGCTTTCAACAAAAGTTGAATAATTTTAATAGCTTAAAACAATAGTTTTAAACTATTATATTGGGAATAATAGTTTAAAACAATGACATTTTCAAGACCTGAAAAATATTTAAGTATTTCATAGAAATATACAGCAATTCATTAAAATTAATATTTTTGAATAAAATTTTCATAACTTAGAAAATGCTAAATTTTAAAAAATAGGCAAATAAAAAGCTATGTATAAGGCATGGTCATATAGGTTAGATCGAAGCCTCATTACACTGATGACAAAATAGAGGAATCAAAAACCTGGAGCAGGAGCCAAGGTCCAAACATTAAGCAGAGGTAGAGGCCCTTCAATGAGTTTGGGTAAGCCCTTGCGCAATATGAAGTAAAGTCCTGCTCACAAAGGTAGAAGACAGGTCACATGGGCATCAAAGACAATGACAACCTATTTCTTAATTTATCCTAGGATCAGAAAGGCCATTATCATCCACTTCATGATGGCATCATAAACAGATGCATTACTGGCACATAAAATGCTGATAGTGACACATGTGCATGAATAAATTCTCCAGATACCTGTCTCTGTGACTTTGTCTCTATGTCTGAAGTATAACAGTTTGGAACAAAGTGTTTCACACATGTTATATATCAATTCTTAAACAGAATAACCTTTAGGAGTAAATTGAAAATTGTATTCCTAAAACAATTGTGATCCCAATTCTACAGTAGACATTAGCTATAAATAGACATTACAGAGAATTGTTTTACTGCTGTCATTTCTTAGGTCACTTGTCTTTTGAAACAAGAGTGCTCTCTTCTTTCATAAGGTACTAAAAATAAATTTCAGATAGCATATAACAGTTTATTGTAAATTTATTTGACTTCGATGGATTGCATTTTATGTGGAGTCCAGGTTTGTGGAATGCTGCCAACCTCGTATGTTTAAATTGTTAGAAATAAACTCTTTGGATTGCTAATGACTGTAGTGTATGTAATTCACCAGACTGTTTAAACAGATTTCAAATAATTTTCCTGTAACTGCTAATCATTTTGTAGGAGACATGAGACCAGCAATCAATAATCACATGAAACTGTTGAAAAGGAGACTCAGTGATCAATACAAATTCTTCTTTCCGTGGGAACACAGCCTGCTCAGATGGCTGACTTACATAATGCTGTCCTTGATGTTCTTTTCTATTACGTATTTATTGCAGTTTCATAGGCATCTTTTATGGGAAAACATTACAAATTAGGGGAAATTGGTAAAATATCGTGACAGAGATAACACTTGCTATTAAGAACAAATCCTTAAAGGGGCAGGAACATTTAATTTGGTACAGATGCTAAGATTGCAAAGTAAAGTTCATAATTTCTAAACAATGGGCAAGTTTGTCACTGATCAGCTTTTCTTTCGCATGTATTTTTAAATGCATTAAAAAGACCTGTACTTATCATAGTACGTGGAATTCTACAAAGGGTTTATCTCAAAGATATAAACTCAAACACAGTATGTAGCATTGTTTTTCAGGCTGAGAAGAAACATTGTCAATAAATGTCACAAAAATACTTATAGTTACATTAAGTAACACAGAATTCCACATATATATATATATATATATATATATATATATAGTCATCCTTCCCTTATGAGAAAATGGACTTGTATTATGAATTTATTACCTTGTCTATTGACAGATGCATTTTGCATATTTTTAAAAGCCATCATTTAATGTATGGAAAAATAAAGAACTGTTTAAACATGTCAATGTATTCTTCTTGCAGCAAAGAGTAAAAAGAGATTCGCGGAAGGAAAAAAGCCTTTTGTTGTTCTCTCCTTTGCTTACTGCAGAGGCACTGTAGGAACCAGGCTTATCTCAATGTACCTCAGTATTTTGGGAAGGACTAGAGGTAGTGCTCCCAGAAATTTAAAATAGGGGTCTAGCTGAGCTGGGAATAAACCAATAGAGGAGCAGTTAGGCAGGGAGAAAGATAAATTAACAAATAAGTAAAGTAACTTAAAAGAAAAACAAAAAGCAGCATGCATAGTCACCCCAGTCTGATCTCTGGTAATATCCTCTTTACTCATTTGAGAACTATTTACAAAAGCCTCAACTCATGTGAACTATGAAGTGGGTAAGGGAAGATAAAAAAGGAAATTCTTTAATTTTGTGCTTTAGAGTCTGAATATAGATGCCAATTTGTTGGTTTATATTCCTTGGGAATGTTCCATGGGAAGAAACTGGTCCTCCTTGTAGTCGGCATTGCACAGCGTCCCAGCTGTAACAACGCGGCTGGGACAGGGGGAAACCGTTGCTCTTTATCTGTTGCACAAACTGGAAGCTGGATCAGGCATCTGCTGGGATTCAATCAGAGACTAGCAGCTAACCTCAGGGTTTTCAGAAAATAAAGGAAATCAGATAGAAACAGAGTCTCGAGGAGGGTAATTGCCAGCTAGGATTCCTCAAGGGCTCCACTCTCTGTCTTACACATGAACTCTTTCTCTGGGTCATGGGGTCACAACCAGCCAAGCCTCCAAGCTGGGAATCACCGTACTGCAGTTACAGCAAGAGTTATTGCCAACTTTGCCAATAGTATGTGTGTATGTGTGGTGTGTGTGTGTATTCCTCTCTGCACTTTAATCTTATTTTCACATGTGAACACCAAAGAGATTGGCCAAGAGATAACCTTTATCTTGAAATCTCAATCTCAGTAAGCTGGTACTAGTAATACACACACACACAGACACACACACACACACTCGCACATCACCTGCGGCTGCCAGAACCTTGCACCCTTAGGCTGGCTCGCGTCTAAGGATTTTGGTATATTTGGTGAAAACTTGCTGATTTCCTATGCCTTTTGGAAAGACCAAGCTGGGGGTGGGGAGAGGTTGAAACGCGGTGGCTCATCATTCATTGCGACTGTTTCAATTGTTGACACTAGTGGCAAGCCGCATCCTCCAGCTCTTGCAGGGGAAGTCTGACACCTTGAGGACAGGAAAGAGGGTGCCAGGCGCCAAGAGAAAGCGGAGTGGGAGAAGCTTTGAGAGTTGCAGGGGTCTACTTTTTTCCAGTCGGGCGGCGGGCCGCCTGGGTGCTTGTTTACCGGGCTGGGAGCAGGGCATTCATTCAAAAGCTGGGTGTCGGAGCGCACTGAAGTCCAACACGCCTGCAGAGCGCGCCCGAAGCCTGGAGGTGTATCTGGCTTGCATCCAGGACCACAGGGTGGATTCTCGCCACCGACTTGGCTGGATGATGGCTGGCTGGTGGTGAGCTCCCCTACCCACTGGCTGACCTCAAGCAGCTGGCCCGGTAGGTGGAAGCTCTTCGAGGGTAGCCGAGCTGGGGGACCGATCGTTAGCTCCTGCCCGCGCGCGGGTCTCCTCCACCTCCAAGCAGTGTGGTGCGTGGGACGCGCATCTTCCCGGACTATCCCTTTCCAGCGAGGTCTGCGCGGACCCCGAGCCGGGGAGCCGCCGAGCCGCCGGGGACGGAGGGCGGGCTGCCCTTCTCTGGGCTCATCCGCTGTCAGCCGTGGGAACTCTTAACTTTATCCAGCGGGATCGGCGCGGGAGGGGGTGGGAGAGGTTCTCCTCCCCTGGCGTTCACCTTCCCCTCCCGGCCCGCCCCTCCCCCGCCTCCTATGGCTTCGCTTTCAGAGCATCCTCACTCCGCCCAGTTCGGTGCCAGCTGCGTGGGCTCCAGCTTCATGCGTTTTCCTTGGAATGCTCCAAAACTCGGCAGCGACTAAGGGAATTCCATCGGAATTTGCCGGGCGTGCTCTTACCCGGCACAGCACCCGCGCCGTCCGTCCTCGGATCCCATCACTTCAGCCCGAAGATTGCAACTTTGCAGGTAAAGAGGATGTCGCCTTGGAGCTCCGTTCGACCGGAGCTGCACCTCGCCTTCTTTCTGGGATTTCGGTTAAGTTTCCTAAGCTGCCTGGGAAGCCGGCTCTCTTCTGGGAGACGGACATCCCTGGGGGATTATGAGTTCAAAAGGTTCTGACTGCATGGTTTCTCTTCGAGGCTCAGGAAAAAAATCTGTGAAGCTTTCGGTGCTTGACTCGGGCTGAGCGGGAGTTTGGGGGTGCTCCTCAGTCTTCCACCGCACCCGGCTTTAAAGCAGGGGGGAGGGCGAGGAGTGAACCCCCGGTGTGACTTATATGGTAAACAAAGGAGCTGTAGCCACGTCGTGGTGCTGGGGAATGTGGCCGTTTTTAGTCTTTTATGCATTTGGGGAAAATGGAGATCTCGGGGGCACCTGGGTGCATAGAAGTGAGATCTTGGCTCTCCGGCTCGTAAAGTGAGAGAACGAAGGAAGGAAAGAGATCAATATTCTACCGATCGATACATTCTGCGTCATTTTCATTCGCTGTCAAGAAACAGAAACACTTTTTCCGTGTTGCTCGACCCAGGCTAGTGATTCTTAGTGTGCCTGGCTACCGAGATTCCAATTAAGCCAATGACCCTGTTTGCTACTTGGGTAAATCACTAGGGTTCACTGCACAACTTGTTCCAGCTGCGAACTCAGCTGCCTTTTGTGACTAGAAACAAGAGAATACTGGAAAGGCATTGAGGGTTTGGGAGAGCTGAGGAAAGGGATCTCTTATCTTGTCTGCCTGCATTCACTATGGTGTATCCACTATGGTGTATCCCGGTTCACATGGTTTCTTAGGGAGGCCCTTCCCAGTGAAATTCCATAGCTATAAAATGAAGCAAGTTGCTTAAAGAGTAAGCACCAAGCCAAAGGAGTGGGAGGAGACAGAAGGAAGCTTTAGCTGTTTTATTAAGAAAAAAAATTAGACAAACTTGTAAAACTTTTTCAGTTTTAATAAAACACCGCCTCTCAGGACTCATGTAATTTCTGCCTTTCACAGTACATAATCACAACACAAAGAATATTACAAATTCTTTAAGAAAAGCGTTTACTGGAGAGTGTTTTGGGTTTGGGGGTATTTTTGGTAAAGCTCTGAATTAGACATTGAGAGTAAGAGTGGGTGGAGATGTTAAAATGTTGAAATCTTCATCATTGTGTTGGGTTTGCTGTTTAAACTTACATTTGTAATCCTACCTTTATTCACCTGGACACTGTTGTCCAGAAAATATCCTCCTTAAATGTTTAAAGGGAAAAAAAAGCAACAAGATCAATTTCAATTTACTTGCTTACTAATCATTCTGAAAGATATATGAGTTAGAATAGATTTCCATTACTTATAAGCTTTACAATTTTGTAATTTTTATATTATTTATTTTTCTGTGATGCTTGTTTCCAAAAGGTCAATATAAAAATGCATAAATAAATCTATGACAAGTTAAAGTTCTATATGAATTTTATAGCCATTTTAGTTATTAAACTAGTAAGAGACCAAATAACTTTCCATATAAAATAACCTTAATTCATACTTTGTATTAACAGGAAATAACAAGCAATGCTTGTATTCTTTTTCATTAGAGGAAATTTTAATGTCTTACTCTATACATACATTTCAAACTTTCTAACTTATGCTCCATGGAGAACTACAGCCATCTATAGGACTGAAAAGTTACCTGTTTTAACATCCTCATTTAAAAAAACCAAAGCTAAATCATTTTCAAAAACAATGACTATGTTTATAAACTATTACATCATTTTAATTGGTAAGGAATCTGGAAGTTAGATTGTCTATTTTTCAATATTTGGTTGGCTGTGTCTATCAATATTTTTGTAAACTAGATGTTATTAAAAACTTCACTGTAATAACTAAGCTTAGAATAATTGCTGTTTCTGAACTGTAGGTGAAAGATAGAAACAATGACAATCATTATTTTAATTTTTCTTTTATGATTTCAAAGTAATAAACATATCTGATCATTTAGTCAAATGCTATCAGCATACCCTATTATAAACATGATTACATTTATATTGAAATATAATAACTACTTTAAGATGCACTGATTTTAACCCCACTGAATTAAAAATACTTTCAAACATATATTTTTGGAAATATATTTTTATACCTGCATGTTTAATTGCCAGAATTATTTATGGCAATACAGATGATCAGCATTATATTTAGCAGCTGAAAACTGAAATTGCATCTCTTTTCTGATCAATGCATGTGTTGGAACAAAAATAAAGATAGGCACACATTTGTTCAATAGTAAATACTGTAATTATCAGTGCTTAAATATAGATCTATAAGTAAATATAGATATACGAGAAGTACTAAGCAGTAGCTCGGACTATAAAATTAGGGACTGTATATTTTATGAAAATATGATTGTTGTGTTTTTGAACATAATGTTAGGTAAAGGGAAAATATAATAAACTATTAAATTTCCTTTTTTCCAAAACCATTATTGCCATATATTTTATGAAATCAAATTCTAATGCGCACTTCGACTTTATAAATTGAATTGCCGGGACTCAATTGAAACCAGTGTTTTTGACCTCTCATACCTATGGAAACCCCCCCATGATTATTTGGTTCTCATTAAAAATGAGATTGAAGAGACAACTCAAAATAAAAACTTAGCCTTTTCACCCAATTTATACCCTATCTTCCCCACTAAAATAAACACTAAAACTGGTTTGATTCAACCCAAGTTTAATTGGAAATTTGTTTCTACCTAGTTACAATGAAGAGTTGATTTAGAACTATCTTCCTCCTCATGTTTTCTATTTCTAACCCTTCCAGGGGCATTACACCTCAATGGTTTAAGAGATTTGAGAATATTTTGATCAGGGATATAATATCATGACTGTGTCTTTTTAATCAGCACAAATATAGGCCTAACCTTTGAGAACATTAGTATTACCAAAACAACTTTGTGATGCAAAAAATACATTTAGGAAAAGAAACCGTTTATTTGGGAAACTGAAAATTAAGGACATGCACATTGAAAATGTATTAATTCAAAACCATTGTTGTTTCATGAACTATTTACCAAATTAAGTGATGTATTTACATGTTTAAAAAATCTAAATTACCCCCATGAAAGTTGTTTAATTTTAGTAGGATAAGAAAGAAATGGTTTCAGAACTTGATCTACTATTGTAACTAAACTGTATGTGATATCTCTTAATACTAGTGTATGTTTTCTCTCTCTTTTTAAAAATGTAGCCAGAGAATAATGGCTTCTTTAGAGACACCAGATGACACCGGGGCACAGTGTTACATATAAAATTAGACATGTTAAAACATTAATTTAAAAACATGCCTTGATAGCTTTATCTAGCACACTGCATTTGTTTAATGGCGGTGCAATAAATGAATCAGATATTCATGAATTATATTCTGTCTGTAGTTTGCTGTTAGAGATTTTGAAAAATGTTGAAAAAGTCACCATTAAGTAGTAACTTTGAACAAATACTACCAAGAGCTGAAATTTACCTGAAAGAGGACCTATTGTGAAAAAAGAAAAGAGGGAAAATGGGTCAATATTTATGAGAACTTAATGTACATTTAGCACTATGCAAGAAACTTTGAAAAAGAAAGCTATTTTTTATTGTTATCTTCACATCTACCTTGAAACTGAAGTATTATTCAACTCGAGAAAGATGAAATTTATGAAAATCACAAAATTGCTTTGTGGTAAAGCAGGATTTGAAGTATATCAGATTTCTTTACTATCAGGTACTACGTCTACCTAATAGTTAGAAAACATGAGGAGAAAGATAGTTCTAAATCAATTCTTCATTGTAACTAAATAGAAATGAATTCCCAATTAAATTTGGGTTGAATAGAACTACGTCTACCTGATAGTAAAGCCTATACTCTTTTTTACTTAAATCCTGTGGTTCCTAAAATAAAATAAATATTCTTTTAACAAGGTTCATAAATTCATTGTATTCTTCAGCTATTTATTTCTCAAATTTTAAAAATATTATGACATTGGGACATAAACAACAGTTCCCATCATGGAGATAGAATTTGAAGCAATAGTCTGCTAAAGTTCCATCAGTTTTGAAGCAGAGCCAGAGATAAGCTACTTTTCTTGAGCAGGATGGTCTCAGAATTACTTCCTTTTTTATTCTTAAATATAAATCTGATATATGTAAAAAAAAATAAAAGGTTTGTTTTCATGAACAAAGTTCAAGATTATATATTTTTTTAGAAATACTCATGAGCTTATAATTTATAAATAAAAAGTTGTCATTCCAAGCTTTAAAACATCTGTAAGCTGGTAATAAAATGTTTTTGTTTATTAGAAAAAAATCAGTCTAAGACATATTAGGTTTATACTGCATCTTACCCATGTTATGTGACATTTCTAGACAAGTGTATTTGTTTTAGTTTTATCTGAAATTCTAATTTTCTAATTATTTTAATGTCCCTTGGTATTTGAGAGGAGCTCTCATTCACACATCCCAAAAGTCATCTATTAGCTGGTGCCAAATTTTAACAAATTTGTCATGATAATTACTAAACATATATATATGCATTTGAACTGACAGGATTGTGTCCAAAACCTATTGACATTGAGGTTGAAGGAATAATTTCTTTGAATATCTATCATATCATCAAAAAAATTATCATTAAAACCTTATCCATTTAGTAGATATTTGTTGAATATTGGTAAATGAATCATTGAATGAAAAGATGAATGGCACATGGGTAAGCTTTTCATTTTTTATTGCATTTTCTGGCAAAACTCACTATTTTTGTTTCTGTAAAAATGTTCTTTAGACACTAAAGCCTGGTTAGTGCCTAGTTAAAGCCAATATGTCCATCTCCTTGAAAGTTTCCTTCATTTCTCCAGATGTCCCAAATATAAATACAAGCAAAGGGCACGTTATATTCTGTCTTGCAGGTGGGTACAGGTCTGTTTCCAAATCTTAACAGTAAATTTTTTATAGAAAGCCAGAGGATT